CTATATGTAATTACTGTTACTCAGTAATATGAACTTTTTAGAACTTTAAGATTGTCAGGTAAAAAGATTTAGAAAAACCAAAGGAAATTAGAGGCAAAAAAATCTAAGGAAAACAAATGTTAGTAGAGTATGCTAATTGAGAAAAATCAATGCAAACTTAATAATTTACAATTTCTTCAAGAAAAAATCCTAGTGTACAGATACTTAAGAAAAATGTTATAGACAACTACAAGTGTCCTTAAAAGGGAATCTATTTTGACTTTATTTGAATTTCAAGAGAAATTCAAATAGAACTGCTTTGAGTTGCTACTTTATTGAGAAATGAAAACAAGTTCTTTTACAACTTAAGTTGTAAAAGCTTATAGTTTATGGGCTCCCTCTCCACCCTGCAATTACCTACAGGAAGAGATCGGCCATAGGTTCTATTTTATGAGTTTTATTGGGGCACATTCACCTCAGTTTACATATTATGAATTCCTGGAAAATGCCACAGATTAGAGAAAATAAAGTGTGCCCTTCAAATCAAGACATTTCATTTCAGCTCATACCTTTATACATAAAAAGCTATCCCAAGTATTATATTAAAGTTTGAAACAATCATTTTACAACGATAATAATGCAATATGTAGTGATCTTCTGAACCTAAAGAAAGGCCTAGATAATGACAATCTAACAACAGTAACAGCTTAAAATATTGCAAAATAAATATGGATATCTTATACTTTAAAAGACACAGAATAAAATGTAATATGTATGATTCAGATCAGAATATTTATGAATAATTTTAGGGTTAAGGGTAAGCAACATCATGGACATGTCAGAAATATTTTCAGAATAACAAAATAAACCTACAACATTTTTAAAGTTTGCTACTGATAAATTATGTGACAAAGACTTATCAACTGACCCTCAGAAAACTTAGGAGTGTTAACCGCAGTATGAATGAATGGCTTATATAACTGGTCTTATAACAAAGAATAACTCTGGCTAAACATATAAAATTCAAGTCAACTGAGTATATTTTAAAATTTAATAATTAAAAGAATAGCTAGATAAATTACATGGTTGGTATAATCCTGATGAGATGTTTTGAGTTTTATTTGAACCTCTTTTAGTAGATGTACAGGCTTCTGAGAGACTGCAAAAATCCATTTGTTGGATCTGGAAATGGAAATGGATTTCAACAAACACATTGCAGGATCACACTGCATCCTTGTAAAGGAGTAATATTAACTACTACAGATTTGAAATGTAGAAACTTTTACAAAAAATGAGGTGATTAATTAGAACAGACCATACTGATATTAGAATTTTATATATCCATTTTCCCTGGAAAAGATTTAAAAAATCAATATTCTTCAAATCACTAAAATCGTTTAATACAAGGTATGGTGTGTGCTAAAATTTAAAAATATTTACAGTAAATGAATGATACATTGCCATTAATCCTTCCTTTGAACATACTTATGCCACTTGTTTTACCCATCTTCTAAAGCAGTTCTGCAAGTCCCTTCTCATGACATTAGTTGCACTGTTGTGGCTGCCTTGGTGTTTTGAATCTGTTCAAAATGTTAACCTTTCATGGTCACTTTGACTCTGGGGAAGAGCCAGAAGTCACATGCTGCCGGATCTGGTGAGTAATGTGGAGGAGGACACAATGTAATGATTTTAGGAGCTTGCCTTTCTGTTGGATGGCACACAGCAGCAGCAGCAGCATTCATCATATTTAAGTCATACTTCTTAAACACACAAAACAGGACTTCCAGAGCTGCTTCACAAAGTGGCAAGAATGGTGAGATAGGCATGTTTGAAGCAAGGGTTGTATTTGGACAGGGATTAATAGCAATGTATCATTCACTCTCATAAAGAAGAATTTAAACATTCACTGTATTTTTCAATCATACCTTTTATATTTAGCATGGTCTACTATGTTTCAATGTATTTTACATGCATAATAATTCTGTCAGAAAACATGAAAAGCTTTAAAATCTGCTATGCATATTTCTACATTAAAGGCAGGTATGTTTTAATAATACTTACTGTTAGCTGCTGTTTCTCTTTGATTTGCAAATAAGTCCTTCATTTAAATACAGAATGTAAGCCCAGCCTGACTTAACTATTAACTTTTACACCTGCCCTTTCAGACTTCAGACATGACCTCTGATTAATCTGGGCTAACAATATCCTTAATCTAGTAAAGGCTATAAGTAAGTGCAGGGACTAGTTCTTAAAAAGGCGTGATCTAATTCTTTTCATATAATGTAACATTTTGATTGTTGCATGCCTTATTTGTTTTTTCTATAAAATTGCAGTGCTTGAGTGAATATTGTTTGGGAAAAAAATCAGTGAGAAGAAAGCGACATTTAACCATCAAATCAGAACTAGGATATTGGGTACAAAGAAAATAAAATGTATAATACAGTATATGAGAAGGTCAAACAGGCTGCCTCTACAAAAGAATAAATATCAGGCTAATGTGCAGTAGTATCTCTTATATAACACTAATCCTAGATGATAAAGATGATCAACTTCTATAATGTTTTTAGGTAAAAGCTTATACCAAAATAATAAAAAAATGTTGTCAGCAATGACAGCTGAAAAATATATGCATACTTAGATAATTCAACACCCAATTTATATTTTTGGAAAAAATAACTTGAAAATGTACTTGATTCTTTTTGATGAGGAAGGTCACGCCATGTGGAGATTTTCTTTTTCACTTTCTATTAAACGCATCTCAAAAACAGGATACTATTTGTGTCAGAAAGACAGAAATACACAACAAACACACAACAAAAAAACAAAGCTCACGTAATAAATGAAAAACAAAAAAAGGAATGAGTATGTTAAACAGAGTGAGAGGGAATATATAACAAAGGGACGGGTGGTTTTGTTCTCAGGCTAATCTATATTTACTTAAGGGACACTGCATTATATTATAGCGCTATAGGATCAAACTATCCCCTATAACCATAAATTTACAGAAAAGTTCATTCAGAATAGCAACTTGGACTATCAAGAAATACATCATTTCCTTGAACAGAGGCTTAAGAAATTTTCAGCTACTCATTTCCCTCACCTGCTAAAGAGCTGCAACTAGGATCTATGTAGCACTCCTAGATGAGCCACCCGGCACTTGGAACAAGAGCGAAGTGAAGCAATAGTGGGTAAAGACAGAAGCTGGAAACGGGGTTAGATAAAGGGTGAAAAATCCTGGCACATGCAATTTTTTCTCAGGCTTCTGCTCCTGAAGTTACTAAATTTATTGTATTCCCCCTTTTGGTAGGAGGTAGGAGAGCACAGATTTTGGACTTAAAAGTTTTTACCTTGTTAAATTTTTATAAGCTTCTTCCTTTTCCCCTTATTCTAAACATCTTCTTCTGCAAAAGTCTTCACTGATAAAGACTGTTTGTAGTAAAGTGATACAAAGGAAGAGTAGCTAGTCTTCCTCAGAAAAATGTATCAATAGGAAGGTGGGCTCAAGTAAAAACCTGGGCAACTAAAGACAGCTTGGAGGACACTAGAAGCTACCATTTCATAACCCAACCTGAAAAGCCTCATCAAAATACAAGCAATACCTAAACTATTATGCCTTAGGTTTAGTTCCTAATTCAAGAAATTATTCTGATATCATTAAGGGATTACTGTAAATATTAAAACTATTATTTCTCATAAGTTCATGTGCATTAGCTTTTATAAGATAAAAATTTTAAATCCAAAAATTTGTGCTCTCCTACTTCATCATTTAATTATCATGGAATGATCAGCAATCAGCTTATAGGGTACAACAAGAAAACTGTGCCAGACTGTGCTTTCTGAGTTCCAAGAAGTATAAACAAAGCAGAAATGTAAACAGGTGCCACAAGAAAGCTGGTGGAAATAAAACAAATTTCAAACACATGTAAAATAATTTAACTGATTATATTTCTCAAATACATTATACATTTCCTCAATTGCTAATTTTAATTCTTAATATTTCAATTCTTGATAATTCTTAATAATTCAAACTTATGTAATGTTATAGTTACTCTGAGAATTCTAACTAGGATAAGTGAAAAACATACTATAGCTAAGTACTTCTTCTGATTATGCTAATGACTAATTCCTCATACATTAGTCTTTTCTGGAGACTCACAGATAAATTATCAACACGTGAAGTCAGCCAGTCATTAAGATTTATTACAGATAGAAAATGGAGTCAATTTTCCAGTGAGGTTATTATTAATCATCAAGAAAATGCAAACACAGCTTATTATTGTCTTTTTTTCTTATAAAAGGTTTTATCAAATCTTTCTCACAACAGGAAATACTAAATTGCACGAAGTACTTGAAAGACTTGCATAGAAAAGATAATAAATGACATTATGTTGAAGGAAAATTAAGATGCAGTGTGGTCCACATCACCTTATGAATCTTTCAACCAGCAACTAGCAGTTGATGTATATTTCATAAAAACACATGCAGACACTAAAAGGAAGCTCAAATTCTTTTCCTTTTATAATGTATGTTTTAAACATAGCAAACAGTACTTTAATTAAATGCCCTTTGCTGTCTGACAGTAAAAGAAAAACAAATGGTAAGATTTCCTTCTATAGTGTTAAAGCCAAGTAATCTGTAAGAGAAATGAAACATTATACTGTTCTCTCACTATTATAACCACTTACTCTGTAACAATACTACCATACAAAATAACATTCATTTTTAATAAAAGCATATGCACATCAATTTGCATAGGTTTACATTACTTTATTAAAACCATTTTAAGTTAAAATTCCTACAAACAAATACATATAAAAAACAGTATTTTACTTCATTTTGGCAAATACTGCAAAGTTTTCTTCATTAACTAGAAAACAAGAGGTTAATTTTCTTGCAGGGATATAACTTTTGGCAAAAGGAAGGTATTACAGTTTTCTACAATGCCACTGTGTGTCCCTGTAACCAGCATAATTTTACAGTTTCTTATCAACTTTTAACAATGCAGAAAGAGACTGGCTTACCATTGGTGCTGAATCTACCTGATGGTTATGAGGCCTTCTTTCTATGCTGATATTCCCTATGGAAAGAAAAAAATTGTGAATACTTAGTTATTAGGCCTAATCATTTTATTTTGAAAACCTTTATGTCAGTGAGATATCACTCATATAGTTTGCAAAAAGAAAGCTTTACTCATAAGCAGTATACTTTCGAGTTGTATCAACAATTTTCTGCTCAGAAGCAGTTCGTTAGCTTAGCTAGTTCACTTGACTTAATGTTAGATAAGCCAATCTTCTCATTCAAGTGGTGTCCAGAAACAGTGCAGAATGCATCCATATCTTGCCCTCAGCTCAAAAATTATAGCATTGTCTGGACTTTGTTCTATTTTTTCCACGGTAATTTTATTTACGACTTGAGGTTATCAAGTTTTATAAAGAAATATAATCAAAGCTACAAAAGGAATCACTACTTCCTTATTTTCTCAAAAGAAAAAAATCTGTTCAAATATCTCTTTGATCTGGCCTTATACTATGACATATCCTGCTATTTATTCAATTACCATTAAGTGTCTCGAGAAAAAATAATTTCCCTGATTCTCTCCTTCAGGATGACAACACTGAGTGCTAATCTTGAGAATTATCCCCTTATGTGTGGACTTGTCTTTTTGTTCCCAATGTTTTCTATTGCATTTTTTGGTAATAAGCAGCCTTTAAGGATATACTACATTGCAACTCATCTGTAACATACTGGTTCAAAGTCATGCTCATGTTAAAAGTAAACGCTGTTGTGGGTTTCATTTACTTTTCCATCAATAAACTAATAAGTGAGTTAGTTTGTTCAAATAACATCAAAAGCCATTGCACAAGACTGTTAAAGCTGAGAATTACAATATCTGTTGACACCAATTAGCAAAATTCCTAGTATGAAATGTTAGTTCCTATCTTTTATAAGCATTTAACTAATTTTTCTTAAAGTATAAAAAAGGATTAAGTAATACCAACACAAAACAATTGATTTTTATTACTTTAGGAAAGTATATTAAAAATAAGCAAAGTACCATAAATATTTTAAAAACTAGTTCGTATTTCCTTAAAAAATTCCTTCAATATCTATTGTTAGCTATTGAAGTATGAAGTAATACACTACCTTTGTTCAACTGACTAATATCATGACTACTTGCGCACCACTGAAAAAAGGTGAATAAATTATGATTTCTAACTTCAACAGTCTAATGAAACAGAAATGACCCTTTTCTGGGGAAAACAAACAAACAAACAACTATAGAGCAAATGAACCAGGTTTTACTTCCAGCACATTAAAGTCTTTATGGCAATTCTGATAGAAAGACATTCTTTTTTTTCCATTAATAGCAGCTTTGCATTACAAATTTTTTAAAAAGATGAATGAAACATACTGGAAAGTACGTAAGTCACAGAGATCCTTGTAAGAATTTAATAAAGAAAACGTACATAGAATAAAGGGTGGAATGTCCATTTCCAGGCCCTCCATCTATAAAACTCCTAGCACAATCACTGAGTGCAGTGTGGGATGACGCACCTGCTTTCAAACAAGTGTGGTCACACAGTGAGGTTCAGGAACTAGCAGTATCTTACGTGTGTATTCTCACTATTATAATTTTATTGCCATAAAACTGGCCTAAACTAAATATTGATTTTAATATCCAATCAGAAAGTAACTTTAGTTGGAAATAAAAAGTAACTGTAAAAGCAAAAACAAAGCACTTTCAAAATCTATACCCTCAGCTTATATAACAATGAAAATAAATTATTTTACTTTCAACTTAATGTGTTGAGAACTAGAATTTTAAAAAGTGGATTACTCAATGTTGTAATTTTAGTTTTAAGTTAAGATAGTATTTGGAAGTATTGTCTAAAAAGATAACCATACATGTCTGCTTAAGGTAAACAAAGGAAAGGAATAATAAGTTTAAAGAAATATGAACTCAAGTAACTTCATATTTTAAGTAAATTTTACTTAAAAAAATCTGTATCTCATTTCACTTTTGTTAAGGTGTAATGATGAGTGAAAGATCCTAATCAGTAGCTTGCTATGATGGTCAGTTTTATGTGTCAACCTGACTAGATCACTATATCTAGATATCTGGTTAAACATTATTCTAGATGTTTCTTTGCAGATATTTTTTGGATGGAATTAACATGTAAAGAAGTAGACTTTGAATAAAGTATATTGCTCTCCACAATGTAAGTGGGTCTTGTCCAAACCATATAAAGGCATTAAAAAAAAAAATCTGTGATCATTGCTGAAAAAGAATTTTGCCAACAGATTTTCAGACCAAACTCTCTTTCCTGCCTGCATTAAATTATAAATTATATATTTACATATTTATTAAATATATTCATTGTGCAGGAATGTAGTTCAAATGTCCAACTTTTTATCATGGACTATTTTAAATTTAGAAAATCTCCAAATGAGCTTAAGGACACAGAATATCTATAGAATAAATTGATACTCAGCCATAAAGAATGATAAACTGGAGACTTTTATAGGTAAATGGATGCAATCTGAGTCCATACTCATAAGTGAAACAAACCAGACACATGTGTAAACATTGTATTATTTCCCTAGTGTGAGAGGTTGAAAGAGTAAATATGATTCAAAATGTTCAACAGATATTGTAAAATGGGAAGAAACTTCAAAAAGAAAGAAAAGCTGGTTTATAGGAATGGGAAAAAAGGACAGGAAAAGCAAAAGGAAAGATATATATATATGATAGTTAAGTACTACTAATAAGATAGCTATACTACTAATTTCTCTCAGTTCATTGAAAAGACAGGTCTGTGCTAATACTGTTTGGAAAATTAAATGCTGATATCTCGTACTCAGTAACTAATTTAAAGATAACAATATGTAATGTGTTAACCATTGTTACCCTCCTCTCATACTGCTTTGGAATTTTGTTTTTTGTTTCTTTTTCTTTAATATAAAAAAGAATCAATTGATAAAAAAGAATAAAACAAATAAATTTGTCAGCAAATAATATTGTTCAGTCTGATAATCTCTGCCTTTCAACGCTTAGTTACATATAATGCAATTACTGCTACTGTTTTGTTTAAATTTACCATCTTGCTATTTAACTGCATTTATTTTTATTCTTTGCTTTTTTTTTCCCCTGGATTCTTCTGGAATAATCAAGTATCTCTGCTATTCTTTTATGATCCTAATGGCTTTTTAGCCACACCGCTTCATCTTTCTTAATGGCTAACCCCGTCTCTCTATATATGTATATATGTACATATATCCTCAATTTAGCATACCTTGAGTTATAGAAATTTCCACTACAAAAGCAATATAACCACCTTAAAACAGTATCACTCCAATTATTCTACCTTTAAGCTACCACCATTTTATATTTTACTTCTACTTGACAAAGCATATTATCAGTATACTTTTAAAAATGTCCTTAGTCTTGGGGCTGGGGATTTAGCTCAGGGGCTGGGGATTTAGCTCAGCGGCAAAGCGCCTGCCTGGCAAGCGCAAGGTCGTGAGTTCAGTTCCTGGTACCGGAGAAAAACCAAAAAAAAAAAAAAAAAACAAAAAACAAAAAATGTCCTTAGTCTTAAGAGAATTTAAAAAATTAGTCTATATTTACCCACATATTTATCCTTTCTAGTATTATTCTCTCCTGCAGATGGACGTTTTCATCTGAGATCATATTTCTTCAGACTGATGAATCTAGTCACCCCTCCAGAATCTCTTGTAGGGTAAATCTGCTGGTGATTGTTTTTTACCCAAAAAAACTTTAGTGCATTCATTTGTACATTCATTTAGAAAGGATGTTATTACTGGGTTTTAAAATCTAGGCTGATTGTCACTTTTTTTCAAAAATGATTTTATTCCATTGTTCTGTATTAGAACAAAGGCCTTACTGTTATTCCCTTGAATATAATGCATCTTTTTTCCTCTGGCTGCTTTCATAATTTTCTCTTTATATTTCCTTTTTTTTTTCTAGTTTAATTATGTATGGCCTAGATATAGTCTCCTTGTTTTTGGTAGGGTTTTGTTGTTGCTGTTGTTTTTTTATATGGTACTGGGAATCAAACTCACGACCTTGCATTTACAGGCAGGCGCTCATGCCACTGAGCTATATCCCTGGCCCTAGCCTAGCTATGGTTTCATTTATATATGCTCTTCTGGGGTCTGCTTAGATTTTTTTTTTTTTTTTTTTTCCCTTGAGATAGGGTCTCACTGTGTAGTTCAGGCTGGCCTTGAGCTTGCAAAAGTCCTCCCTCCTCAGCCTCTGGAGCGCTGGGATTACAGGCATGCACTACCACGCCCGGCTCTGCTTGGCTTTTAATGTCTGTAAGGCAGCCTCTTTTATTTGAGTCACAGAACTGTCACATTATTTCTTCAAATATTTTCCACTTCATTTTCTCTTTCTTCTGAAACTCCAGTTATGCATGTTTAATCCATATCACATGGATACTTACATCTAATAATTTCTTCCTCTTAGGTTTCCCCTCTGTGCTTCAGTTTGGATAATTCCTATTATTTTCCCCCAGAATTCCATGATCCTTTCTTTCAATGAACCTTACCTGCTATTTTCATGCCATCCACTATATTTTTCTTGTCTAGAATTTCTTGTAGTTTCTTTTTTGGGGGAGGTGGGGCGGTTTCATTTGTCTACTGACATATTCCACTTTTCATTTACCTTGCTTGTTTCCTCATAAATTATAACAGATATTTTAAAATTCATGTCTGTTAATTCCAACAGATTGAGCTATACAATTGTTTTTATTGATCTTTCATTTGGTTATGCTGCATTTATTTCTACTTATTCACACACCTCCTATTTTGATTATAGGTTGGAACTATTAGACATGTAATAGAAAAGAATAAAATGGAAAATCCTTACTCCCAGAAGAAGGTCACCACTTCCTCATTAGGAAAGCTAGGGTGATGTCTTTGTTCAAATCAGGAGTTGGCGCTAGTTGAGCTGGGCTGCTGTTGCTACTTTAGTTAATTGTAGTAAGCCTATTGTTTCAAGTGTTGCAAAGATAAGGCAGTTAATCGAGAAACTTGAGAGATTATGGGAACTCT